ATGTTGTCCGATACCTTAGAATGTGTATGACCTAGATATAATCCAAAATCTGCGAAACCTGAGAAAAAAAATGTTTCCCCTTGGTTTCGTTTTCGGCGATTTGGGCCATATAGACAATCAAATAAAACAGTAACCATTAGAGATCAAAGAAAATTTTTAGTTCACTTTAGGAACATATGTATTTGTAGCTCTTAACGTAAGTGGAAGCAAACAAAACCAGAAAACATGTTTTCGTTGCTAAAACTGGTTTTCGACCTAAAACTTGTTTCCGTCCATGTAAAACCTACCAAACGAAAACCAGTTTTCTAACTAATCAGGGCTGTCGGAGTTGGATTTGAAAACGACAAAAAAATTACTTTGGTGTCATGAAATCCAATGTTATCGGTTTTATGTGCGAATCGGTATTAGTGTCGATTTTAGGTGCACAGAAACCAATAACATCGATTTTTCTATCGGAAATAAACCAAGCAGCTAACGGCTGTTGGATTTCATTTGTTTATTAGTTTTCTTTTTCTTGCAGTTGAACATTTTGTAAAAATGTGAATAACAGGTCTATTCTGCACGTTTCCGGTGGTTTTGTAACCGGTAAATTATCTCCAGATCAAAAACGAGAAACAAAATCGATCATGTTGTGATAGATGGAAGGCACACACCCGCCTCTGTGCAGCACAAAATGTGCGTCCAACAATGCAAGGAAAGCTTAACGTCGAAACGCTGCAATCACAACAGACGGCCAATTGATTCGCCACTCGACTCTCACACCTGCTTTCTGAGAGCACTTTTCAACAAACCGACATACGCGAGCAGTGGAACTACATTTCCCGCTCATTAAGTACCGCCGCCGAAAAAGTAGTCGAATTTCAGTCAGCTCGAAATAACAACTGGTACGATGAAGAGTGTCAAAAAGCTGCAGAGAAAAAATATGCCGCTTATAGGGCCACGCTGCGATCGGTTGCAACCGGAAAATTTTACCAGGAGGTTAGGCGACTTACGGAAGGTTTCAAGACCGGGGCGAACTCCCGTAAGAACAACAATGGCGTCCTAGGGACCGATGTCCAAAATGTGCTTAAATTATGGAGTGAACACTTTTCCTACTGAATGGTAGCAGCGCTGAAAGTAGTGGATAAGACGAACCCGAGACCCTAGTCGATGTCCCACCGCCTGACTATGACGAGGTGCGAATAGCGATTACGCGGCTGAAATACAACAAAGCGGCTGGAGTTGATGGCCTGCCAGCCGAGCTATTCAAGTACGGCGGCGAAGAGCTGATAAGGTGTATGCATCAACTCTTATGCAGAATTTGGTCAGATGAACGCATGCCCGATAAGTGGTCTCTGCCCAATCGTGTTAAAGACTGAAGTCCACCGCCAACGAACTGATTGGGCCTTATCAGTGTGGCTTTAGTCCTGGAAAATCCCCCATAGACCAGGTATTCACAACAAACCAAATCTTGGAAAAGACCCGCGAGAATTGGATCGACACGCACCACCTATTTGTCAATTTCAAAGCTCCTTCGACAACACGAAAAGAAGTTGTCTTTATGCCGCGATGTCTGAATTTGTTATCCCCGCGAAACTAATACGGCTGTGTAAAATGACGTTGAGCAATACCACCAGCTCCGCTAGAATTGGGAAGGACCTCTCCCAGCCGTTTGAGACCAAACGAGGTTTCAGACAGCGTGATTCACCTTCATGTGATTCCTTTAATCTAATATTGGAGAAGATAATAAGAGCCGCAGAAGTGAATCGCTCTGGCACAATACTTTAAGAGCTTACAATTGCTGGCGTATGCCGACGACATCGACATTATCGGTAAAAACAAAAGTTACGTCTGTTCTGCCTTCTCGGGATTAGATAGAGAAGCAAAGCGACTGGGTCTGGTGGTGAACAAGGACAAAACGAAGTATCTCCTGTCATCACACAAACGGCAAGAGCATACGGGTCTTGGCACCCACGTCAGTATTGTCAGTTACAACTTTGAAAAAGTAGACGATTTCGTTTATTCGGGAACCAAAATTAGCACCAATAATAATGTCATCCTTGAAATCCAACGGAGAATCTCTCCTACCAACAAGTGCTACTTTGGACCGAGTAGGCAATTGAGAAGCAAAGTCCTCTCTCGTCGTACAAAAATCACACTCTATAAGTCACTTATCAAGCCTGTGCTGGTGTATGGCGCGGAGGCATGTACAATGAAAATATCTGATGAAGCGACTCTTGGAGATTTCGAGATAAATATTCTGCGCAAGATTTATGGGCCTTTGCGCGTTAACGATGGCGAATACCGCAGACGATTGAACGTTGAGCTGTATGAGCTTTACAACGGCAGAGACGTAGTGCGGCGAATTAAATTAAATTAGGTTATGTCGTTCGAATGGACAGAAGCGCTCCCGCTCTGAAAGCATTCAACGTGGGTCGCGATGCTCGTAACAGTGGAAGAGGAAGGCCTCGCCTGCGTTGGAAAGACCAGGTGGAGTACTTGGATTCACTTGGCATTTCCAATTGGCGTCAGTTGGCACAGAAGAGAAACGACTGGCGTGCTGTTTTGGACTCGGTCAAAATCGCTTAGGCGGTTACAGCGCCAATAAAGAAGAAGAGACTACAATCAACACTAAATCAACAAAGTGCCGTTGAAGCTGGGCGGCAAAAATAGAAATAAGATTAAATCAACCGGAAAACTTCGGCGGTAAAAACTTTATTGTCAGGTTACAAAATTTTTGTTACCAGCGCAGAATAGACCTGTAAAGAGAGGTTTGTTTTAAAAAAATATACATATATTTTTATTCATAACTAGGGAGAATCATAAAAATGCAACGCAAAACAGCATTCTTCCAATTGCAGAAATGCTACAACTGCAGATGTAATTTTGCGCCCACTAATTTCTGTTTAAATTATTGAAAACAATTCAATTTTAAAAGTTTGCCAAAAAAAAATTACATTAAAATTGCCGGCACACACAAAAATATGCAAAACAGTTAATTCGAACATCGCTTTTGTTTACATTCGAAAAGAGCAAAACCAATACGGTTTAATGACACCAAATGAAATCAATATTGGTTTGTAATTCCGACAAAACGCAAAACCGACTTGGATTCCATGACAGCCCTAAATAAACAAATGAAATCCAACCGCAGTTAGCTGCTTGGTTTGTTTCCGATAGCGAAATCGATATTATTGGTTTCTGTGACAGCTAAAATCGACATTAATTGCGATTGGATTGGATTGGATTTCATGACACCAAAGTAGTTTTATTGTCATTTTCAAATCAAATTCCGACAGCAATTGGATTCCTTGACAGTCCTGAATGTTTTTTTTTTCAAGGCTTTATAGTGAGTATCAACTTAGAAAATTAGCGTCCTTAAATTTTGAAATATCGCAGTTTCAGCATTTCAGAAATGTACCGATATATGAAATGTGGGCCTAGTTTAGGTCCGAATTCAAAAATTTTCAACGTTTTACTTTGCCGAAATACACGTATGTAGTCATAAGTGGGCGGTGCCGCGCCTATTTTTCAAAAACTTTCTATGAACGTATTTCTTGCTAAAGTTTAATTGTAAGCATCAATTCGCTTCAGTATTTACTGATTTATCGAATATTTCGTGTTTTTCTATGTTGCCGTTATATGGGATCTGGGCGAGTTTTTGTCCGATTTTAAAAAATTTTACCCGTTTGATATGCCCATTTTCAATCCGTCCTTTGCTCAAAATAAGTACACGTACTAAGTTTTTCAATTTCTATTTTTTCATCCTGATAATTTTTTATACATTTCTATATATCTAACTCGATTCCTCTAGACTGTTACAAACAACCGTTATGTGAGCAAAGTTATAATACCCTTGTGCACAATGTACACTGAACGCGGGATCTGCAGAAGCTATGTATATGCCAAGTAAAAAAACTGCTAGAGCTTGAAAAAATCAGAACAGACTTTGCGTTCATTAAAGCAAATTTTGGTTGTTTGATAAGAAAGCTTGGAAAAAAGGTTCGACATTAAAAGAAAACGTGTAACTGTGAAAGAGCAATTCCATATTCCTGGCTCCACAACTGAAACTTTATTATTCTTCCGATTTGTTCGACCCATTTCGTCCTACCAGTTTACTTTGAACCGTTGAAGTGAGCACATCACGGGGCATGGGTAGTAAGCCATTTTTTGAAGTTTTTTTAAATTCTGACGGTAGAAGTTGCCATTTGGAAAAATAATTTATGCAATATATGTAAATATAAATAGAAATGTATATAAATATACATCCATATATTACATGTACATATATAAATTTATATTTATATAATATAAATATTAGGGACCGAAAATAACCGTTATATACCAAGATTTTTTTAAGATTATTGCAACATCAAAAATTTTTTAATTTTTTTTCAGTCAAATTTATTTTGTGATTTTTATTTTTGACCAAAATCAACCTTTTTTATGTATATTTTTCGATCATTTTTAACAGCTATGATGGAGATTGCATTGGAGACCAGCGCTTAACTGCCAATTTTTCAGTGCCAGTTTAAACTTAGATTAAGTAAACTGAGTTTAAATTGAGCAGCTGGCTGACATTTGATTGGCTGATCTTAGTTTAAACCAGCCAGATACACTGAGTTTAAACTACGGCCGTGCACTGAAAAACTTGCCCTTAAACTGCTTATCTGAAAAATATTAATCCAAAAACTTTAAAATTTCTATCTTCGTATAAGTCACGGTAAAGCGAATAGAGGCATGGGACGAAAAGGCTACATAAAGCGAGCAATCCGTTTCGCAATAAAAACGAAATAGTAAATACCAACAAGAAGAAATGCATTGGAACATTCTATAAAATATACTGGCAATTTTTGGCGTAACTTTGGGGATTTCAGATACAATATTTTTTTAAGTGATGTGTTGTGGGGTGTAGAACAAATTTGCTTCAAAAAGTAAATCTCAATAATTGACACACACGATAATTTCGCGCAAAGGGGTCGATATTATTAAATATACATGTACCAAAATAAAATGAGTACCTGTAAATTTTTGCAATTCACTAAGATAGCGTCCAAACTGTGATCAGTTAACTGGCTGCATCCACTTATGTGTAGAATCCGGAGTCTGGTCAGTGCTTTTGTTATTATTTGTATAGCTTTATCATTAATACTTTCGCAGTCCGACAAATCAAGAATTTCTATGGAAGGACAATCCTTCACCATTTGTTGAACGCCAATAAGCGAAATTTGTTGGCAATTAGAAAGCGATAAATGGCGCAACTCAAGAAATTGTATGCCATATTTTAAAGACACATCTGATATTTTATTGCAGCTACTCAAGTTTAAAGATTTGAGACCTTTTAAATGCTTTAAATTATAGCCATCGGTACTACATTCTTCAATCAAGTTTAGCTCATAAGCTTCGAACATCGCTTTTTTTCTATTGGCGTCACGAACAATTTCCTCTTCCGCTTTGCTTCGCAATGAGATCTTAAACAATTGATTGGATTTATTTAAGCAATCACGATTTTCCAGATTTGAATACGACTGAATCCCATCAAGCGAGTTGCGTAAGTTGGGCGCACGAACTAACTGTGTAATATTAATACCAGTCAAAGCTGCATCCGTGATCTTTAAATAAAAAATTAATTGCGATTGTAATTTCGGCCAGTATTTACATACACTTAGAAAAAAGAATTTACTTAAAACAAGAAACCAGTTTCCCTATTTTAGAGTTACTGTTTTTTTCCTTCTAACTGAGTAATATTAATACCAGCCAAAGCTGCATCCGTGATCTTTAAATAAAAAATTAAATGCGATTGTAATTTTGACACAGTATTTACATACACTCAGAAAAAAAGAATTTCCTTAAAACAGAAACCAGTTTCCCTATTTACTGTTACTGTTTTTCCTTAATATTACGAGAAATTTACTGAGTTCGAGAAGTTTTTCCTTAATTCAGGTCCATGCTAAAAATTTGAGGAAGTAAATTTACTCAATATAAGTAATAATTTTGCCAGTGCTGTTTAGACGAAGATAATTGCTTTCCTTGCAAATGTCAGCTGCGACGTCGCGTGANATCCATGCTAAAAATTTGAGGAAGTAAATTTACTCAATATAAGTAATAATTTTGCCAGTGCTGTTAAGACGAAGATAATTGCTTTCCTTGCAAATGTCAGCTGCGACGTCGCGTGAAGGCTACTGGTTCCGTTTCTGAGATCGCAGGTTCGAGTCCGCTTGGAGGTGGTTAGAGTAAGGTAAGTCAATTATTTTGATTTAAATATCAATTACAAATTGTAAAAGTAATTTCATATATGGAAAAACCTAAATTCTCAAATACCATAAATAATAGATGAGACTTTTTTTAATACAATTTTAAAAATTACAATAAAATAAAAAAATAAAAATATTTAAAAAAATAGCCTGTTCTGGGACTCGAACCTTGCATCTTTCGACTAGCACTCCAGAGCTTATTCCTTTCATGGCAAGTTAATTTTTCCTTAGAAAAAAATAGTACTGAAAACTAAGGAATTGTGTTTTCCTTAAACTGAGTCAAATCGTTTACTCATATTAAGGCAGCCATGTCTTTGGAGCAATTTCAAGGTAATATTTCCTTAGAATAATATACTTTTTTCTTAGCATCAAGGAATATTTTTCTGAGTGTATGTACAGTGTTGGAAAAATAAATAAGGACGCGACACGCGACATTTTAACAAGTTTAGCCTATTTTCCTTTTGTTTGTTTAATATTGATATATATATATATATATATATATAACTGCATACCAAAAAAAACTGAAAAATCCCTACAGAAAGTAGAAAATTAACATGCAACTTTGCAGAATTATTATAATTTTTGCACTAAGTTTGAAATATGAATTAATATGGTTTTTGTTAGATAATGAGCTATACTTTTATAGAAAAATTATAAATATTAAATAAACAAAAGAAAAATGGGCAAAACTTGTTAAATTGTCGCGTCCCTATTTATTTTTCCACCACTGTATGTACGTATCTATAATATGTATGAATATCGAGGGCTTATACCATGTTCTGACCGACAACGAAAACACTTTTAAAACGAGTTTTGGGATTGTGGGCTGCTGGCTGTTCGCACCGGCTGTTAGTGTTGACATTACTTACATCCAGTACACGGACTTCACCACTTTATTGGTAGATCTACCAACTTTTTAGCTGTATTTTAATTTCTACCATTTTTACCAACATAGGCTAAAAACCCACCAATATTTTCCGGAAACAAATCAAAGAAATTTAAATGAACGCAGTGTATGTATGCATATTTTGTCATCGAACACACTCAAAATAAAAATGAAAAGTTAACTCTGACCTTAACAAATTTAAAAGTGCAATTTGCATCTCTATCAGCTGTTTATATAATTATTATACGTTTGCAACACGTCTTTTGTTGAGGATGAGAAACGAATGGTCTGTAAACTTCAAGCATTTCAAATATAATTTAAGTAAAAAAAATTTTAAGTGGAGATTCCATTGAATTGAATTGTTTGAGCCCTTTTTTGAATTAATACAGGACCTGAATTACGACATCCGCGATGGAATCAAATTCGAGTCGAAAATTTTTTTGAGGTTACGGCATTTAGTAGTGAGCTCGATTTTTCAAATCAAAATGTGTTTGAGAGAGTATAGCTGTCATTTTATTTCATTCGACTCGAATCGTGTTTCATTCGATCCTGGATGCCGTGATTCGGGCCCAGTGTTTATGTTGTTTGTTGAATATTTTGTTGACGTTAAAAAAAATTGTAGCCCTTATTATGAGTTGCATTCGAAATTTTCGTTGAGTATCGAATTTTTTGTCGAACAGAATTTTGCTTTCGTTGGTGTAGCGAAGTGTTAGAAAATTGTGAAGTGTATGATTTTACATTTGTTTTCTTACTTTTTGGCGGCAAGCGCTATTCTTGATCGAATGAGCGCCATAATGCCAAATAAAAATTCGTTCGATCGGCACTTTCGACCACAGTCGAAGATCGAATGCAACNGCTTTTTGGCGGCAAGCGCTATTCTTGATCGAATGAGCGCCATAATGCCAAATAAAAATTCGTTCGATCGGCACTTTCGGCCACAGTCGAAGATCGAATGCAACTCATAATAGGGGCTTTTTTTATTAAAAATATAAAAATCCCAAATAAGGTTACTGCAGTAGTACAAAACCAAGAATTACACTAACTATATGTAGGGTTTATAGCTTTATTGCACTTTGTTCATTTTTAACTTTGTAATTATAAAATTTTAGAATTAAGTGATGTTTGCTGTTTGTAAATCAAAAAGAAAAATTACTGACTTTAAATATTTTTCTTGAGCTGAAAACAACATATTTTCGTTTGGAACTTTAGATTAAACCTTTTTCAGCAGTTTATTTAAAAAAAAAACTATATTCGCAATCGCTAAGAAGTCGGTTTTCTTCCCTACCATGTCACCAAAAAGCCAGAGGTTACCCGTGTGCTAACAGGATTATCGTATCAGCTTGTGAAATTCCATCCTACTGTTGCAAGGAGTTCAACCGTTGAAACTGCAACAAAACTATCACTCTCAACAGCTTCAATCATCAACCACAACATGNACTATATTCGCAATCGCTAAGAAGTCGGTTTTCTTCCCTACCATGTCACCAAAAAGCCAGCAGTTACCCGTGTGCTAACAGGATTATCGTATCAGCTTGTGAAATTCCATCCTACTGTTGCAAGGAGTTCAACCGTTGAAACTGCAACAAAACTATCACTCTCAACAGCTTCAATCATCAACCACAACATGTGCAATAACTGATTTTCTCACTGTCCTCATCACAGCCAACGCAATCGAGCTCACCGGCCTAAGAACCTACGACATCTACTGCTGCTGCTGCATAACCTACTGCCGATGGCTTCTTTGACTATTGCAACAAGACACAGTCCAACTTCTTTCCGACCACGCCGACTCGCCATCAGCTAGGAGAATTTCCACAATTACCATCACAGCTTGCTATTGCACCACCCCACATCATTAATATCAGTATCAGCCGACGAAGTCAAAGCATTTGAGTAGCGAAAGTGGCGGCAGCAACTGGCACAGTAACCAAAGGAACTTACAAAGCAGCCGCAGCAGTAAGCAACGTCCGCTCGCTGTTAATAGCAGCAATTTCAGTACACAGTGGTGAGCTGTATATTTTTGTCTAATATCTTTGAAAGTTGTTTTCCCCTTTAAATTAAAACATATACTATATTTTCATTATACCGTATATTTAAATTTGTTTCAGATCAGTTGTAAACACTCCTTATAGAGATTATTTGTGTAAAGTTATCATGTTTCGTTCACCCCTACATGATACACAAACATCTACACGGCTAATAATTTAAATGACTCGCTTATAGATTTGCAAAACAACTCTTTGCAAGAGGAGTTGGCAAATCCTTATGCTAGTCAAAACAAAAATGAGGTGTATGCAACCTCAGTCAAGTTTCCACAACAAGTTGGACAAGTTGTCCAGAAGCTTGGTTTGTACATAGAGAAATACAATTTAACATGAAAAACATTACACAAGATACTACAAAATATGAGCACACAATCACAGCGCGTCCGCAAGAAGTCATAGTTATGATATTAGATGTCATTCAAAATCCTCCGCATAACAACAAGTTTTCAGAACTAAAGAAAGAATTGAAAGGCATTCTTTCAGCGAAAATAAAAAATTAGATACAATTTTCTCAGATTAAGAGATGGTTGATCGTAAACCCTCTGAATTTTATCGGTCACTCTGGTAGAACGATTTCATAGGCAGTTGAAAGCTACGATAATGGCTAGAAATATAACCTACAATTGGTATGATGAGCTACCGATAACACTTCTTGGTTTACTATCGATGTATGTATAAAGAATGTATTTCAGCCATACCATCTGAGATGGTTTTTGGGCAAAATTTATGCCTGGTGAACTTGTGGTTCCATCTGAAGAAAATTTTTCTCCAACTGAAGTTTTAGGTAATTTACGGGAACATTTTAAAAATGTTAACTCAAATTTAAAGCATAATCAAAATTCTGATACTGGTGTATATATACCAAAGGATTTGGAGACTTGTAAATTTGTTTTTATGCGTGTTATTAATAAAAGATCATTGCAACAACCATACGAAGGACCTTATAAGGTTGTGGAAAAAAAACAAAAAATATTTCAAACTTGAAGTGGATAATGAGGTTAAAACAATTCCGATAGACAGACTAAAACCAGCAATCATTGAAACTGAACACCAATAATATGCTCTGCAAGCAGTTCCTGATCGGGAGCCACAGAAGTGGCCACCCGAGCAGACAGCTGCTTGCAGAGGAGCCCTCGCCTAGGCACGTCAGGAGACATCTATATGAACTAACGGACGAAGTCCAGAGGTTCATTAAGCAACCTCTGGACCCGACAGCCTACAGACAGGCCTTGAACGGCATTCACAGGGACTCAGTCTCGAGTTATGTAGACTCTAGACCTGTGAATGCCGTTCTAGGCACACCACCCCCGGACATTGACGAGACGGAGCTTCATCTGCCTCGGGAGACGCGCACCACACTTGCACAACTTCGCTCCGGCTACTGCAGCAGGTTAAACTCCTACCTGAGTAGGCTGAATGAGGATGT